TTTAGTCTAGTCTACCCTTGATTGGCTTAGAGTAGACTTGGTAGTGTAGGTTAATGGTTGGACTGGATGATCTTAAAGGTCTTTTCCAACCTAAACGATTCTATGATTCTATGATTCCCTGGGGGGACGAGGCCACGAGTGGTGTTTGTTCGCTGGGGAAGGCCCCGGCCCGCTCCGTGGGGGCTGGCAGGGGTGCGAGGCGCGGGGAGGGGGCTCTTGGAGGGCACCGGGGCCTGGTGGGAATGAATGGTTTTCTCTGTAGCATGAAGGCTTTAAAAGTATCAAAGTGTTGGAAAGCACAGGAAGAGGGGCTCTAAAAACATGAGTTGCTGTTGAACAGGTGGCTGGAGGATGAGGAAGTCAGTAAGGCAGATGTAAATATTCCTCCATGAGAGAAAAATGTGCCTTGCAAAAAAAAAAAAAATCTCAAAATGCTGAAAATGTAGCTTTCATTCATTCATCAGCGTGCAAGCGTTCCCAGTGAGGGCAGGTCTCGTGCCTTTGCTCAACTTGTACGTCTCAGTTTGAGAGGAGGAGTGCGATTTCCCGCTCTGAAGGATGAAATGTGTGTGTTGATCTCCTGTGTCCATAACTCCTTGTTGCCTGATTTGTCCCTAAATACCTGACAGCTTTTCTTCTGAAGGCCAGCCCAGAGCGATTGCTAGGTAGATGTGTGTAGGCATTAGAGTGGATGAGCTAGTCCTAGAACTGAGATCCTCATGTGAGGACACAATGAAAAGCACAGGTTTTTTGGTAGAACGGAGTTTCACTGGATAACTCTCTTAATTTTTGCGGGGGTCTTAATTGTGGCAGTAACCTCAAGTAGTTCCCTATACAGTATGTTTACATCCACTGAGACGATTCTATGATTCTCTGCTTTTCTTACTGTCTTGTTTCTGATCACTTTTCATCTTTGGATGGCTTTCTGTTTATTTTTCTCCTTAGAACCAGTAGAAGAGTCTCTGCTGGAAAAATACGGATTCCCTGAAGCTGGAACAGAGACCAGACGTTACACAAATCACGCACTGTCTTATGATCAGGCAAAACGGGTGCCTAGATGGGTGATTGAACATATTTCAAAACAGAAGACACTGGGTATGTAGGTATTTATTTTCTTACATTTATGGCACCCAGAATAAGCTTTGCAGTTCACAGAAGGTGGACCCAGGAGCAGGCAGGGAGAAAAATCCCATAGTGATCTCTAGGTCTGGATTTTTCCACCCATTCACAATCCGACTGGAGGCAGCAGGCCTCTGGGTGGCTGTCAGTTTCATGACAGTGTTAAGGCTGATGCTGACAGTGATTTAAAAGAGATCTGTCACTGCAGGTTGGCAGACCTCTTCAGTGTTTTTTGTCTTGTTGGGACTAGTCTGGAATTGAATGTACAACATCCTGAGGCCTGCAAGACACACTTGGCCCAAGGGCTGAGTATGAAAGGGAGGAATGAAGAAGAACCAGAACTACCTTCCGCGAGAAATTTCTGTTATGAATTTATGAAACGGTCTGTAAGCACGAGATCAATATAGCTGTGTCAGTGATGTTGCAGGAGGGAAGCTTAACGTACCTCTTTTAAACATGAATGGAGAGAAGATGACAAATTGAAAATTAAACTTTTCTTAACCTGATTCAGACCTGCAAAGTTCAGTGTTATTGCTCAAGCGCATAAAAATTGCTCTTGCTTCCTTAGGTTGTGTAGTTAGTTCTGTGGGCCGGTTTAGGTCAGTTTACATACTGCCCCATATGTGTGAATGTTTGTGGGGTCAGTGCCTTTAGTGGCCAGCATGTTTCATCTACAGGTCTTAAAGAGACTTGCTCAGAATGGGGAGAAAAGATGAATGCCCATTTCTGAGAGAAAAATGGAGCAAAGGGCATCAAGAGTTGTAATTGTTCAAAGCTAGATAGGGCGTACGTACTCACGGCAGCCATTATTTACTTTGATGCAGTTCTGTTGTATTTTCTGATGTGCACTGTCTAATAGTCTCTCCCCTGTTCTTTATGCAAGACAGAGGCTCAGTGATTTTTTTGCTGTCAGTGGTGAATGAAATATAAGTGGTATACAGTCATTGTAAATTAAGTTTATAGCATTAGTTCAGTTTTTATAAGGCAAATTATTAGTAATGGAGGTAACTGTATAATTGTAAAGTGTTTTATGAACGCAGTAGCCCTCTAAATACATCTTAATCACTGTCTTCAAATTACCTTTCAAAATTAAAAGTGTGATCCTGAAAATATTTATAGCCAACCCTTAAGTAGCATCGTTGATTCTACTTCTTTCTGAGAAGAAAGCAGTAATTCCCCGCTTACTTTCAAGTGGGCCTTAACAGCTGAATTGTTAAAATGTTTTCCGAATGATCAGGTACAACTAACCTGCAGGCTGAAATTAAGTATCGTGAGGCATTCAGCTCTGATTTATGTCTGATAACTACTCTAACTGAGATTTGAGGCGGAACTGTGTTGTTCAGGGAAGGTCACAAAAACCTTTCATGTACAGAAGATTTGAAACCATGTGATATAAAAAAAAATTATTGAGAAGTAAGAACTTAAATGTTTAAAAAACATGGTGGAAAGAAATTAGCTTTGCATTTAAATGAGATGTACAAATCTGATTACAGAAGAAATTATCCGTTTTTATGAAAGCAGTGAACAGACAATAAGTGAGGATCTATTTCCATTTTTCAAGTTGAATTGATAAATTACACTTTGTCTTAAAGACTGAGATTAATTTTTTTTTTTTTTTTTTAAATAAGAATTCTGTTGTTTTGCACGCTGGTAAACTTGTCAGTGTTGCTTCCTACACATCAATCCTGTGTTAAAGTATCATGTCACGTGCTTTACCAAAAAGAAAAGTGAAGCTCCTTCCTTCTACCTGCACTGCGTAAAGATACTCTGACCACCTCTCAGTTTTGATATCATCTCCATGGACCTATGCACAGATGGTCAGCAAAGAAGCGGAAATTGCTTACAGGCGCTGGTCTCCAAGAGATGCGTTATCTGTATGCATGCTCATTTTCCACCCCTTCCCTTCTTCCTTGTGGTCCTTGCCTATTCTTGGGCTCTTCAGAGGCCTGCCAAGTGGAGACTGTGTACCACACTTTGTTCTTGGTACGGAGCGCAAGGAAGCATAGGGTGCATGTGTGCTCAGTGATAATATTGACATGACAAAAAAACCAGAGTGCATGCAGTTTATGTGTGTATGCACAGTCAGCTATAGAAGAAAGAATAACTTTAACATCTAGCAGTGATCACTATTGAAATTTGTCCCTCACGTTGTATTGCAACAGGAAGTGCTTTATAAATTGCCAGGTCTGAGGAAAATTCTCTCTGGTGTGTACAGGCCCTGGTTCATGCTTAAATGAAAAGAGGCTATATAATGGTCCTCTGTATTGCATCTGTGAAATTATTCCTAAGCTGACACCCTGCATTTTATAAAGAAAATTCAGTATGCCGTAGATACTTTGAATTATATTGTCATTTGGGAAAAAAAAAATTGTGGACAACAGTGATGGTGCTCTAAGCCAGTTATTTTCCAGGACTGTTGACCCATTGCACAGGCACAGCTGAGTCAGCCTTTGCGTGTGCCTCCTCTGCTTGTCTGGAGCACCTTCCTTAATTATGGATGTTCTTGGGTCCCAGCCTGTTCCCTAAGAGAGATGGTGTCTTACTGGAGGTTGTCCATGCCAGAGACTTCAGGCAAGTCTCTTCTGGCCATCACTTTCCAAAGGAAGCAGTCAGTGTTTGGGATGAAGCGGTCTCAAAGTTGCAGCCCACTCAGGGTAGTTTCTTTTCCAAGGAGTTGACTGGGACTTTACACAGTGCAAGGACGCAAATACAGGTGTATGGCCAGTAAACCTGGGAAGAAGGCACAGGCTCCCCAGCAGAGACAGCAGCTTAGAGTGGGCTGCCATCTCTGCAACGGTTAAGTTAGCTCCCTCCACAACCCTCCCTCCAAAATGTTTTTGTCTACCAGAAGACTTTAGGCCTAGTCGTTTTTGTGCACGATTCCCAAATGTCTGGAAAGGCAGAAGGGGAATCTTGGAAAGGAACATGAAAGCTCTACACTTACATTTGTGCCTATGGAGGACAAACGACTTAAGACTTTCTCTTGAACGGGTTTATTATTTTACCAAGTGTAACGTCATCAAGATACACCCATTCTACTTCCAGACTAGCCTTGGAAAAAGAAGGAATACTTGTAGTGGCTCAAACATCAAAATGAAATTGCAGCTGCTGAAGATCTGTTTATCTTCATTGTCCTAAAAAGTGAATCTATACTGGTTTATATCTTTAGTAATCTTGCCTTTAATATTAATCTGCATTTATGATAAGGCAAAAGTATTTTGTTTTTGTTTTTGCTCTATAAAACAGTAAGCATGTTAGAATTTCTAGCATATAGTGGGGAAGAATTTAGAACTGGAGCACAAATATTTAAGCAGAGTTATTCTTTTTTTATGGTTGAGGAGAAAAATACCCAATTTAGGTTAATGTGTTGAATCCTTAAGCATGGGTCACTTGGCAAGATATGACAGAACCAGTTCTTTTTGTCTTCTTGTTATGATGGTTTCATGATAACCTAACAATTTAGTGTGTTACTTCTCAGGCAATGCAGACCGAAGGCACTGTAAATTCAGACCCGATCCTAACATCCCTCCAATGTTTAGTGCTGTCAATGAAGACTACCTTGGCAGTGGATGGTCACGAGGACACATGGCACCAGCGGGAGATAACAAGTTTTCAACAGTAGGATTTTTTTTCCTTTCTTTTTAATTTGTGTTTATTTATCAGTCGGAAAGGGTCAAAAGACCCTTAAAAGTAATGTGTAATGTTCCTTTTGCAGTTTGTTTTGAGATGGAACATGATCTCATTATTGATGCTCAGACCTGGACTTGGAGTTACAAGGTCTCTTCCTGACTGAGCACTGTAGGATGCTTTCACATTCTGCTTCAGTCATCTAAATCAGGTCATCCCCTGGTGGCATACCTCTCTTCATAAAATCACGCTTAGATTAGCTTGTTTGGCAGAGATGATGTGAGTATATCTTGTACAGTATAGTCCTAAGCAAGTCTTCTCAACCTCTTATATGTCACATTGTCTGCCTGTACAATGAAGATGAGAACCTTCACCAAACAAACCTCAGAAGTGCCTTCCGAAGCTCAGTTAAAGGGAGACGAGGAACTATGACTTCATTCTGGCCAACAGGTGCTGAGATGTTTAAGGCTAGATTGGGCAAAGCAAAGATGCTGTTAAGCACTGTTCTGTATTGGCAAGGGGATTGCCTGGATGATTTAAAAGGCTTTTTCCTTTCTGGCAATGTGCATGAGGTAAATTAGAACCTTCTTTTGCCATAGTTCTTTCAGTCTATAAAATGTCTTCACCTGCCATTTATTTGAGCTGTAAGAAAATCATGCCCTAATGCCTTGGCTGACTAACAAAGCAGCCTCGGATTTATTGGATCCTCTTGTGAAATGTGCCTAATGCAGCAATTTGTCAATTAAGAAGCAGTCTGAATTTGTATTTCTGCCAGGCAGAATAGTATGCAGTGGGGCAGAGTGACAGCGCAGTGCCATGTGGTGGATGAAAGAACCAGTCATTTCATTTCCACTGAAAGTGTCTTTGTTGTTATTTTTTTGTGACATCTGGGGAGTTTTTGCTGATGAGCTACCTGTGCAGAGAGATCCTGGACCTGGCTTTAAATGCGGAGAGATGATACAATCTTTCCAATCCAGGATTATAAAAATTTAATTTCACAGTTTAATTAGCGCAGGTAGTGTTTGCTCATTATCCTAAGGAGTTCTGTCAGCCCCTTCACTTTGAAGAAGTAGTACATGAAAAATACTGACAAGTACAGGACCTATGAAGATTCTGGGTTAAGATCTTGGAAATGTTTTCTCCTGTATTTCCTTGCATATGTATAGTTTTTTAGCACCAGGTCCTTCACATCTGGAGATATGTGGGCATCAGTTCAGAGAGGTTTGTGCCACTTTTTAAAGATAAAATTAAGCCAATATGTAGATGTTTGACCATTATGGTCTCATAAATCATTTCATTGCCTACATGTTATGTATTTGTAAAATATTGATGAATATTTTTGATAAAACCTTTTCTCGTAAGCGAAGAAGCAGCTAACCATTAGGCAGTCAAGTAATTGAAAAGCATAGGTGAAAGCATCCTTTCCATTCAAAGAGTAGCTAGTTGCTTCCAAAGACATTACAAAACTGACACTGTGTGACATAGTTATTCCTGTGCCTCTAGAATTGGACATTCTTGTGCTATGTTTCTGTCCAAAAAAAAAAAAAGTAGATACATTTTGCAAGGTTTGCACTCCAGTTATGCAACTCTTAAAGCAAAATAATTTTGTAGATGTTCTGACTCGGGTTTTGTCTGACCTTTTATGTGGATAATGTTGAGACTAAACTAGAAATGGATTCTGATCCAAAAGCTTCTGTGTTTTCAGCTTGTAAATGTTTCAGTGAAATTATATTATTTTCTTTCTCTATGCAGAGAGCTATGGCCGAAACGTTTTATCTGTCTAACATCGTGCCTCAGAATTATGAAAATAATGCTGGATTTTGGAACAGGTGAGAAATTACTTGTACGTAAATGAAGTGAAAAATATCAGGCAGTGGCATAAATCAAAAATGCTATATTTATAAAACTTCCTTACATCAAAGTATTCTAAAGCACTTTATAGGCTATCTGTAGAGATCGTAGCAACTTCCTCTGAAATGAAAAGCACCTCAGTCCTCACAGTGCAAAAACAGTATAACAACTACTTTAGTTCTTTATTCAATCAAACTGTAGAGGCCATTTATTTAGAATAGATAAAATTACTTCTTCTGGCTGACGTGGGTAGAGGTACCAGGCTTAACATCTCTGTCCTTAAGGAAAATTCGGTAGAAGCAAGGAAAGGGTTTAGATCTTGCTTTAACATCTCTTCCTCAAAAACGCGGTTCCAGTGTGAGAGTATTCGCATCTCTGTATGTGGACATTGGTTCACTTTGAACTGGAGAACTGAGTGCTCCCCACTGAGTCGTGACTACTTCAGGTCTTAGGCGTTTCTTGGAGTGCTGGCTTCCAAGTAGCAGTCAGGCAGGTTCTCTGTCACTTGTGAACACTGGCTGGATCAGCTTTGAGGTGAAGTGAGTGGTTGATAAATTTAAACTTTCTTCACGTAGGATTTTTATTCATTCCTTCCTTTGAGCAGAGAAAAATATTAATAGAAGTAGCATTCATCCAATGCTTCTTGCATAGGACTTACAGAATGTTAAGACTAAGAAACAGGAGGGGAAAACGATGAATATCACAAGGTTTCTCAAGGGAAGGTTAGCAAAATTATGTACAGTATTGTACTAAAGTCTATCAAAAATGCATCATCATTCAGCTACACACTGCTTTCCAGTTTTACAAGAATGCATATAAAACCATATGAGGCATTCAGTAAGGTTATACTGTTTTATAGACAAATAAATGCTATAACATTTTAAGAGATTTTTTTTGGTATTGTTTTAATACCTCAAGTATTTGAGCATAAAATTTCCTTGTACCAAAGCTAGGCATTTGTACCAATTAAAGGTTGGAAACCCTCTTTATTTCCCTCGAGCAGGATCTCTGCCTAATCAGGAAATCATGGGGAGTATTTGAAAATTTCCCCTGGCACTACCAGCCCCACAACTTAAGCAGCTATTATCACTTTCTCCCAACCCCAGCACCCTGTCCCCAAATTTAAATACATAAACAAGGTATTGGTGCCACTTTTGTCAGTCGCTTGTTTAATGACAAATAATTTTAAGGATACCATGTTTCACGTGTGTTTTATTCCTTCCTGGCTTCAATACTCTCCTCCTTTCTCTTTTTTTAATTGCTTGCTTCTTGAATTGCCTTCTGAGGTGCAGGTGGACAATACAGCTTAGTCAGTTTAACAGTCTGTTGTTTAATTTTAAAGTGGTGTTTGCCCTCCAGCCATGTGTTTTTGCTGCTTTCCCAGTTCCAGCTCTGGTACGAGCCTGACTGCGGCGAGTCAATTCCATTTGCTAACCCAGTTAAACTGATTCGCATTTTGTTTTGCTTGGTTATGTTTCTGCCAGATTAGAAAATTGGATCAACTGGTGAGATGAGTGCCAGAGCCAACATGGAAGATGGAGTAGGACTGTTCAGCTGGGGCAGACAAGGGGAGCAGTAGGAAAGGGGAGAGCAGGACTGCATCTTTCAGCAAGCTATTAGATAGTAAGCTATTAGATTGGTTCAGTGGTGTGCTCTAACTGCACCTTAGTATTTATTCCTCATTATTTTCCCACCAACATGCATGCTTCTTTCTTTCCTGGTGTTTAACTGTTGTTTTCTGTCTTGTTTTGAGCGTGATTTCATGGTCACTGTAATCTGATCTCTGGCCCTGCTGCCACCAAAAGCAGTTTGCTGCCTAGCTGCATTTATTCCCACTCTTTCCTTGTGCCAGGTGGTGTTTGTATTGCCATGCCGTGAGACAGCCCGAGGAGCTGAGCTGCTTGGAAGCAAAGCTGGCGACAGCAGGAAAAAAATTAGCTTGTGGTCAATGCTTTGGCGTATCACATGGCAGCTCACTATTACTAAAGAAAAGGGTCATGCCTGCTAATTCTGATTCGTGGGGCTTGTTCCTGCTAATTCTGATTTGTGTGAGCTGATTTAACTCATTAACCCAGCACAAAAAAAAGAGTGGTTTTGTTCAGGGTTATTGACAGATGAAGAGTGCTAAAGGTGGCCCAAGGGAGAGGTATGAGGAACAGGGGTGAGACAGGGAAGGGGGTGAAACCTCCCCCTTTCAGAGGCAGCCAGATTAGCTGGGCTCATCTGTCTCATATTGTGGTCTGTTTGTCCATTTGAGTGAAGTGCAACTCTATCTTTACTAAAGGCCCAATGGGTGCTCACTGTATGTGATTTCTATAACACTTGGGGTGTTAGATCAAAGATGGGTTATAATCTCATTTTATGTAAAATAGGCATGACCCAGAAACCTTCTTTGGAGAAATATTTTATGCTGTAAACTGAATCAATTAGTTTAAAAAGCAAAAATAATGTTAGCATTTCTGGAGTTACTATTTTATTTTTAAACAGTTTTATATAAAACCAATAAGTAGACTTAGTGGGAATGGCACGTAGAAACTTTTCTAAGTACTTTGAGCTATGGAAAGAGCTGTCTGTTGCAGGACATTTATTCCTTGGGGAGGAACATACAGATACAGTAATGTGGTAAAACCTTTTCAAGCAAGAATGCCACAACCTGCTGTTTAAAACAAGTATTGTACTGTTGATGGTCACCTGAGATTAGGATCTTTCTAGTGTCAAGTGTGGGAGTAAGTAGAGAACTCACATTTTCAGGACAAGTTGTAAGGCAACAGAAACCATTTTCAAATGTGTGCGATAACACATGCCTGTCTGTAAATAAGAGAACCAGGGACAAGTGCGAAGTATGACTTGGGCCTGTGTTTTACATTCTTTGGCTTGCAAGTCAGTCACATGAGTTTGGAAAAATGCTCCCAGACTGTCAGTAGGTCACCTTGCCCTTCACAGTATGTTTCAAAGATTATTATGTGAAGTTTTCCTAGCTGACTTTACCCTATCTGACAAATATATTCCAGAATGGAAATGTATTGTCGGGAATTGACCGAGAGATTTGAGGATGTTTGGGTAGTTTCTGGACCTCTGACCTTGCCTCAAACAAATGATGATGGAAAGAAGAGTGTTACTTATCAGGTATGTATATATGTTGCTGGGTTAACAGTGCAGTGATATTTATGTATTTAAAAGCGATATTGTAGCTTGATAAAACAAGGTTAAACATCCTAGTACATGCAAAATGTATGAAATGTCCAATACTAGTTGGGACAAGTTCAGTAGAGAAGTTATATCTTGCCTACACATGAAAAAGTATAATTTTAAAATAATTTGTTTTATTTATAGAGAGATCTATTAAATGTCAGTCGGCAGTAAAACTGTTTTCTGACTTGTGTAATACATGACAGTATCTAAGCAGAGAGTTAGTGGGTTTTGCTGATGTGCAGGCATCTATTCAGTCATGTATTGATATATTCTAGAAACAGTGCGATACAAAGGTAATGTGTGTTTCTCAAAACTATATAGGGTATTGGAATGTCTGTGCTCCGTTAATTTCAAAAGCAGTTGTTTGCTGATATTCCGTATGCATCACTTAGATGAGGCCTTGCAACTGAGATTCTGAGCATACCAAGGTCAATTGACAGACTTCAGTCAAGTTCAGTAGGTTTTAGGTGAATGCAGTGTAATCACTGGTCCATGGTACTCGTACCCCCTCTTCTTCTTTTGGTGCCCCATTTTTATTAGCTGCTTAAAATACTCCAAAGATTTAAGATTGATCACGCACAGTCTCTAGAAACTGTCATTGATAGACAGACAGATAGGAAAGTCTATCAAGTTTATTATTGCTTAGCCTGACTTACTCTTTGTAAGCATGTGTTCAGACATCTGTAGGATCTGAGCGTAGTCAGGTATTCAAGGCAGGGAGTATTGCCTTCTGCCCTTACTGTAATGAGGTATTATTGTTGTTTTCACTTGCTAGATGAAAGCTAGCGTAATGCAGATAATAAATGCTGTATTTTTCACCTCTTGAAAAAACACTTTTCCTTGAAAATAAGTACTCGGATCAACTGCAGCTTCAGCTCGTGAGTGATTCAGCTGTCCAGCTAGTTCTCTGAGAAGTAATGAATGAACTTGCTATAAACAAGCCCCTGTTTCAGAGGGATATGAGAGACACAAAAGAGAGAGATGTTCAGCTTTCAACACTGGCTTGTTTAGTGGTAAGATTTAGGCACTATTTCACCATTATAAATACATGGCTGATTTCCATTTGATTGAACTTGGAACTCAGTCATGATAGAATGTAATTTTTCCTGTTTGCTTTTACCTTTTTGCTTCTTTAAAAATTGTCCCTTATGTCCCCACCCGCACATGTCTGTAACCTTGACTGTGATTAAATCACAGCTTTGGCTTTGTTGTTATTTTTTTTCCAGGCAGTCATATGGTATGCATGTGAAAATGCAGTAATAATAATTTATCTTTTTCAACGTTCAGTGGCAGTTCCAAACTTCAGCTCTCACCACATCTTTGTGAGGAAGGTGACAACTGTGCTCATTTTCAAGTGGATAAATAAGCCGTGGTTAAGGGATATGACTGATGCCACATGATAAGGTAGTGGCAAAGCCAGCTTTAGACTGGCAATGGCTCCTTGCCACCCAAAGGGAGAGTGCTCACTTGGCTATTGCCCATGATACTTTCCAGTCCTTTCCCTTGTCTGCCAGCGCTGATGACTGTCAGATCCTTCCACAAGATGCTTAATTACCCAATGAAATAGAAAATCCTCCATACTGGACTCTTTATTTGCTTACTGGGCTTGTTTTCTACTGCTGTAGAAAGATAGAGGAGCACACAGAGGAGTCCAGCACTTACTGGTGACAGCATGAGATACATCCAAAAGCACATAGCTGGGAGCAGGAGGGAAGTGTTCCCTTTCACCAGTGTCGAGCTGAGCATTTGGCTTACTGTCATGCAGAATGGTACTGTAAGAGTTCTCCAGGCTTGCACATAGCTTGCTGGAATTTGCCTCCCTGTATCTGTCGGGATACTGCATTTTTTTTTTAATCCCAAAAAATATATATTCGTCTCACATTGCAAAGAATTAAAAATCCTCAGCTGACTTGAACATTTTATAACTGAAAATTATTTTCCAGGAAGCAGTTGAATCATCTATCAACTGCATCTATCAACTGCTTCACTTTAATCTTGGTCATCTTTTTCTAGTTTTTCTCTAGAGAAAGTGTTTACTTAGAAGAGAAAGATTACATTTTCTGAAAAATGATTTTGGCTTTCCATTTTGGTTTTGAAATGTAAATTTTAGTCTTCCACAGGTAAAAATAAGAGCAGGCACTGCATCTTACTGCTTGAATTCAAAGTAACTTGATACCAGGATGCAGTGGTGGAAGAATAGTGGCACAAAATGTCCGTGCTGCTTTGATTATCGTATCGTTCTGTTCTTGTCTGGTGCCAAGATGTTTTCATCATCTTTGGGTTTGATGACAACTCTGGTCTTTTATGAATGTTTTATCAGTTTTGGTCTTAATATAAACTGAAGTGAAGCTCAGTGTGAGATAGAAAATGGTAGAATGATGGTATTCATGTTTTCATTTCACCATTTGGCCACATTCATAAATCCTTTACTTAGCTTCCTAGGGTGAGGTTCATTATGTAAATTGGATTTGTATTTAAGCTCTGTTTAAGTACCGATAATGCTGTCTACAGATGGGAAAAGTAAAATGTTGATTTTGGGTTGGGGTGCGGGTTTTTTTGTTTTAAATATTAAATTATTTGATTTGGGTCCTTTTTGGGGACAGTCCTAAGTGTAAATAAATCCAAGCTGAGAATTGTTTTGTTGTTTTGAAATCTCTTTATGGCATAAGTTCTTGTGCTTGCCATTGAAGTTGTCCTTTGGGGAGAGAGACTTCAGAGAGCAGTGGTATGTTGGGTTTTGTTTTTTTTTTTTTTTTTTTTCTTCTTACATCAACACACACACTTAGAAGAGGGAACACAACCTGTCGGAGCACTGGAGAGAAGTTCTTTTCAAACTGATACCTTGGATATAATTGCAGTCATTGTCATTGATTTTGGCAGTCTGGGATTCTGCCCCTAAACCAGGAACTCTAAGAGTTGGCAGCTGAATGAGAAGGGAAGGTGCCTCTTAGCTGTCTTTCGGAGTGAACTCTGCTAGGTTCAGACAAGTGACTTAGAAATGAAAGGCTTTTAGTCCTCATTGTCTGGGCTTATGAAGCTGATGTGAGAAGGTGTCCTTTTTCTTTGTATGCGCCGTTTAAGGAGAAGTGCTGTAGTATACACAATAGTGCTGAAACTCACAACCTGTAATCTGGCAACGTGGCTGTTAAGGCTGAGCTCCTTTCTAATGTTTTTCTTCTACTCTGAGACTAGAAGTGCGGAAAAAAGAAAACGCAGAAGTACTACAGTGAATGTGTCTGCATTGGTTTGTTTCAGATCCTCTCTTCAATCTTAGTTTCCTTGGTTTTGGCTAAAGGAGTGATGAAATATGTATCCATGGCTTTACAGGCTGGTGTTTTTCTCATCAGATGTCCAAAAAGGTTATTTTTAGATCACTATAGAGGAAAAACAGAGCATCGGTCATGGCATTGTTCCCAGTTCCTGCTTGGACTCTGGTACCATTTGCTATTTAATTCCAGAAAGGGAATTAACCTTGAACTCCGTAGATGCCAGCGTTGTTCTGTCTATTGGCTGAACTTGTTGTATCCTCAGATATGTTCTGTCATTTCATCTGTCTCTAGCGGAGGCTTTTATTGCAAAGAGTAGATTGATGACCACGCTTGGTATCTGAAAAACATATTTTGAGAATATATGTAAAATGGAATGCCAACAGGAGAAATCTGTTCTGTGTCATTAGAGAGGCAGATGCGGGTTTTTCATTTTTGTCCACATCAAATCAAAATGACATTGTCTTGTTTTATACATTACTGTTCTCCAGTGACTGTCACTTCAGTCATTTTCCCCTGTCAGCAGATTTGGAGTTTGAAATACAAATTCTGCAATAGTTCTACTGCGTCATGCTCAATGCTCCACCTTTCTTATTCCCAAAGCCATCGTAGTAAATATGAATTTAAGAAGAATTGGCTGTGGTTGGCGAACGAAAGTGAAGTTTAGATAACATTTTGTTTGTTGTTTGAAGACGACGTTTTTCTGTACTTTTTAGTGATACACTGGGTTCATCCTGGAATCATGTCTGCTGTTTAATTTTCAAAACTGAATGACTAGGCTGGGCCAGACATGCACAATAACTGTACCAGAAGATATACTTACTTGTCGTCTAGTTCTGTGGCAAATAAGTCCCTGGGAAACAAATTGCACCTCTCAAATATAAGATGGTGCTTTATGGTTTTCCCCAGTCAACTTTCAGAAGTAGTAGAGGTTTTCTCCTAGCCAAGATACTACAGGGGAAGGTATCCTTCTTAAAGGAGGAAGTAAACCTGGGAACTGTTACTATTTGTTGGCTGCTCCAAATGGTCTCAAGGCTACACAGGCAACTAACAGATCTAGGCCCATTATACATGTCCCATAAAACATATGTTTAAAGGGCTAGATCTTAGATCAGCTGGTGTAAACGACTAAAGCTCTGTCAGCCCTAAATTTAGACATGATGTACAAATGAAAATAATAGGCACTGGTTTAAGATTGGAGAAGAGACACCAAAGATGCAGGATAGATTTATGGGGTTGCTTTTATTTAGCACTGTACCCATCCTGAAGGTTCTTTTATTATAGGAAGAGTGGTGGTAGGGACTGTAGTGGATTCAGTGTTAAGTAACCTAAATGGGTTCTGTGGAAGTAGTAGCCTGTAGTCATCACGTAAATACAGTATCATAATGCATATACACACCCTCTTTATTTGAAAAAAAAAAAAAGGGGTTGGGCATCTGTCTTTTAATGCCATAACTATGTATATAGGCACAGCTTATTTTACCATCTCTTCTTTTCTTTTTTTAATTTCTTTTTTAGGCTTGTTGAATGATTTGGCAATAGCAATCAGACCAGCCATAACAAATTAAATTTTCCTGAAGTACGTACATTTGCATTTTGGAGTGCTTGGCCATGCAGTGTTTTTGTAGATTGTTACTATTATTTTTATCTGTGCTATATTGCTAGGTC